CGAATGCTGTGATCCTTTTTTTTTTTTTTTTTTTAATTTTTCACTCTGTGTAGCCCTCGATGTCCTGGGACTCACTCTGTAGACCATGATGGCCTTGAATTCAGAGATCCACCCACCTCTGCTTCCCAACTGCTGGGATCAAAAGTGTGCACCGCCATGCCTGGCTAGGCGAATTATTTTTTTTTAAATTGAAAATGTTGAGAAGACAGGAGTAGGGGTATAAAATTTTCTGTATTAAACATTCGCAAGTGGTATACACTCATGTGTTATTTGTAATAAAAAGTATATTTTTTTTCCAGAGGTAGTGGCTTATGCCTGTAATCCTAGCACCTAGGAGACTGAGCTGGGAGGATCTCCGCGAGTTTGAGGTCAGTTTGGATGACATCGTGAATTCCAGGCTAGCCTTGGCTATAGACTGAGACCTTCTCTCAGAAAACAAAACAAAACAAAACAAAAAACAAAAAAAAAAAAAAACAAAGCAAAACAAAACAGTGTGTATGTGTGAATGTTTTAATTTTTATCACAATTTTATTTACTTATTTTGTGTGCACATGTGCAAGTGCATGCATACTGTACACATGTGGATGTTGGATGACAACTTGTAGGAGTCAGTTCTCTCCTTCCACCATATGGGGCCCAAGGATCGAACCCAGGTCACTAGGCTTGGCAGCAAGTGCGCTTACCTGCTGACTGGCCAAGCCATCTCTCAAGACCTCCACTAAGTATATACTTAACAGCAGAAGTGGGATTGGAAAGGGAAAGTAACAACCTCTCGGGAGAAAAACAAAGGACTTCTGTGAAGGGACCAGCTGGGTCCCTAGTGAAGCCTCCCCTTCCAGTAGCTCAGGATCATAAGACTATGTCCTAGAGCTTCTTGGAAGAGGAAGCTGAGGTCTGTTGTCCCACGTTCACCTCAAAGGATCCTCCCCTCCTCAAGAGATCTTTAGTTACCAGGATGCACTCAAGGGATCAATGAAACATCCAAATACCCAACTGGTTTGGGAAAATGGGATGAGCAAAATCAATAGGCAGGAACACTCCCAGATTCTGCAAGGGAGGGTTTGGGCTCCTAAGTTCAGGAATAACCATTCTTTTTTGGCTTTTTTTTTTTTTTTTGGTTTTTCAAGACAGGGTTTCTCTGTGTAGCTTTGCGCCTCTCCTGGAACTCACAGAGATCCGCCTGGCTCTGCCTCCCGAGTGCTGGGATTAAAAGCGTGCGCCACCACCGCCCAGCCTTTTTTGAGACAAGATTTCACTGGGAAACCTGGCTGGCCTGGAACTCTCTTTGTAGACCAGGCTGGCCTTGAACTTGTAGAGATACACCTGGCCTCTGGCCTCTGCCTCCCGAGTGCTGGGAACAATGTGTATGCCACCATCGCCCAGCCAGGAATGATTTTAATAGGCTGTCCTTTGTGGGCATGTAAATGAGTGTGGAGATTCCTCAAAAACAAAACAAAACATATATATATATATATATATATATATATATATATATATATATATATAGAGAGAGAGAGAGAGAGAGAGAGAGAGAGAGAGAGAGATACCATCATAATGCAGCTATATCACTCCTGGGAATATCCCAAAAGATTCTGTCACATTAACATAGTGGTATTTGCACATACGCGTTTATTGCTTGCTGCACTGTTCACAATAGCCGAAAAGTGGAAACAGCTGAGAAAATGTGATATAAGGGTTGGCAAGATGGCTCAGCTGGAAAGCACTTGCCATGCAATCCTGACTTCAATCCTCTGAACTCATGTAAAGGTGTAAAGAGAGAACCAAGTCCCAAAAATTGTCTCCTGACCTCCACATATAAGCTGTGACAGACATATGCCTATAACCCCCAACCAATAATATAATAAATAAAAGAAGAAACAAAGAAAATGTCAGGACATGGTAGCTCCTAAGTGACACCCAATCTCTAAAACAGCAACAAAACAAACAATAAAATAGAAGAAAAAGGAAATGTGGCTCGTATACAGTGTTTTTTTGTTTTGTTTGTTTGTTTTTGTTCTGTTTTGTTTTGGAGACAGGGTTTCTCTGTGTAGCTTTGCGCCTTTCCTGGATCTCGCTCTGTAGACCAGGCTGGCCTCGAACTCACAAACATCCAGCCTGTCTCTGCCTCCCGAGTGCTGGGATTAAAGGCGTGCACCACCACCGCCCAAATGAACTAGGCAACACTTATGTCATTCACAGGAAACTGGAAGGGCTGGAGATAATATGTTAAGCAAAATAAGCCAGGCTCAAAAAGACAGATATTGCAAGTTTTCTCTTATATGTATTACCTAGATTTAAATACACACACATACACACACACACAGAGAGACAGAGAGAGACAGAGACAGAGAGAGATAGAGAAAGAGAGAGAGAGAGAGAGAGAGAGAGAGAGAGAGAGAGAGAGAGAGAGCAGAGCAGGGGGAAGTGAAATTAAAAGGAGACTGTCTTAGTTTTCTATTGCTGTGATAAAACACCATGGCCAAAGCAACTTAGAAAAGGAAGCATTTAATTTGGCTTGTGATTTCAGAGCGTTGGAGTCCATGATATCGCAGTGAAGAAACAGTGGAGAACTCACCTCTTGACCCACACTCCGAGAGAGAATGCTAGGAATGGCATGAGTCTTGTGAAACCTCAAAGCCTCCCTGCTGCCCCAGTGAGACACCTCCTCCAAATCTCTCCCCAGCAGTTCCACCAACTAGGGACAAACGTGTGAGTCTATGGGGGCCATTCCTATCTAAACCTCCACAGGGCCTGATGCAGGGGAGGAAGGGGTTAAAAGGGAATGGAAGAAAGGAAGCCAGATAATGGAGGGAATGAAATATGCATTTTCAGGGCCTGGAGAGCTCACTCACTTGTTTAGAGCACTTGTTGCCCTTGTGGAGGACCTGGGTTCAATTCCCAGTACCCACATGGTGGCTCTCAACCATCTGTAACTCCAGTTCCAAGGGTTTAGACACCCTCTTTTGCTCTCTGTGGGCACCAGGCACATCACACACATGCATGAAATGCTCATACATATGAAATAAATAGGCCCGATTTTTTGTTTTCTTTTTTGGTTTTTCGAGACAGGGTTTCTCTGTGTAGCTTTGGAGCCTCTCTTAGAACTTGATCTGTAGACCAGGCTGGCCTCTAAGTCACAAAGATCTGCCTGCCTCTGCCTCCCGAGTGGTGGGATCAAAGGCGTGTACCACCTTGCCTGGCAAGTCTAAATACATATTTCTGTGTGTTTTGTTTTGTTGTCATTTTTTTTTTTTTTTTTGGTTTTTCGAGACAGGGTTTCTCTGTGTAGCTTTGCGCCTTTTCCTGGAACTCACTTGGTAGCCCAGGCTGGCCTCGAACTCACAGAGATCCGCCTGGCTCTGCCTCCCGAGTGCTGGGATTAAAGGCGTGCGCCGCCGCCCGGCTTGTTGTCATTTTTGAGAGAGAGTTTGGCTAAGTGGCTCTGCTGGCCAGGAACTCACCATTAGATCAGGCTGGCCATGAACCTGTGACTATCCTCCTTCCTCTGCCTCTTGAGTCTAGAATAACCACCATGCCCAGCCTAAAATATCATGTAATCTTTCATTTAAGATTCTAGATTATAGTTGGGCGGTGGTGGTGCACGCTTTTAGTCCCAGCACTCAGGAGGCAGAGGCAGGCAGATCTCTGTGAGTTTGAGGCCAGCCTGGTCTACAGATCAAATTCCAAGACAGCTAAGGCTACACAAAGAGACCCAGTCTCAAAAACAAACAAACAAACAAACAAACAAAACCAACAAATGTGAATTGCAGAGATATTTTAATTTCCGGATGTCTACAAGATATTACAGATGATAAACATCTGCTTTCCCAAACACAATAAATGCTTTAATCTAGAAAACAAAAACAAAAACAAAACCCAAACTATCCTTTGGAGGCTCAACATCACGATGCAGATTTAACTCCAAGTCTCAACTAAAATTGCCCTTAATAGCAAGCTACCTATATTTTTACTCCTTTGAATCTAAGACCATTTTACTTACAAAAATACTGAGCTCCAGCGATAGGAAGATTGATATGCCCAAGAGTCCACAGAAAGACAGAGGCCCGATCTGACCTCAGCATCCTCCTCATGGATTGCCGTTTAGCCATTATACTCGACTGTCCCATTTAAAACCATATTTGCTTCTGTCACTTTTAACCTTGACCCTGACCCCAGCCCCAACCCCCAGTGGGCTCTGGTGCTTCTGGCCCCACCCAGTGGAAATGCCTCCTTGCTCACCTCCCAGCCAATCAATCTTTCGATCTTTCTTTCTCTCAATTTTATGGCCCAGAAACCTCGCTCTTGACCAAGTTTCCTTCTTGAAAAGAGCAATCCTGGGCTGGAAATGTAGCTCCATTGATGGAGAGCTTGCCTAGCATGCATGAGGCCCTGGATTTTACCTTTAGCATAGTATAAACTGGGTGTGGTGGTGTGCATCTGTAATCCCAATACTTTACTCAGAAAGTGGGGCAGGCAGATCAGGAGTTCAAAGTCATCCCTGGCTGTGTTAGACCAGTTGGAGCTTTATAAGATACTGATCCAAAAGGGAGGGCGGGAGGGAGAGAGAAGGAAGAAAAGAAGAAAGAAAGAAGGAAGGAAGGAAGGAAGGAAGGAAGGAAGGAAGGAAGGGAAGGAAGGAAGGAAGGAAGGAAGAAAAGCAAGCTAGGGAGATGGCTTAGTGGTTAAGAACATTTTCTGCTTTTGCACAGGATGAAGGTTCAGTTCCCAGCACCCACATCAGGCAGCTCACACCCTCCTGTAACTCCAGCTCCAGAGGATCCCACATCATACTCTGGCCCCTTCAGGCACCTGTACACATATGCACATGCATACATGTCCACTCACACACACATACATACATACATAAAACAGTATTTAAAATTAAAAGCAGAAAAGGGCAATTCAGGAAACAATGGAAGATGTGAAAAACTTGGTCCCAGTCTAAAGTGGCTTTGAGGCTCCCTGGCTCTCCTCTGCACCTTTGCAGGAATGATCCTTACCAACGGAGCTTTGAGGTGTTCAAAGGGCCGCCTCTCTCACAGCCGACCGGTGATTCCAGCTAGCCTCGGCCATAGTGCAGCCGCTGGAGGACCTGAGACAAGAATCTTTAAAGAAAGAGATGATAAAAGATAACTTTGGTGGACAGGAATCAGTAAACGGTGACAACAGCAACAGCTGAGTTCAAGGGTCAACATCTGGGAGTAATTGGGAAAGTTTTGTGCTGACAGCTGTGTGCCTGGAGTTGCACAACACAGCCAAACCAGCTCCTGGGCTGCTTCAGGCTAATGAATCGCTGGCCCAATATACAGCAACAGCTGAGCTGCGAGAGTAAGCTGGGTCCCTGGGGGCCTAAGCTGAGCCTTGGGGCTTCCCAATAATGTGACCTTAGTCAAGTCTCTCAGGAAAGGAAAAAAAGAAAACCGGCTTCTGTGGAGTAAGTACGATCGATCTCTTTGCCCAGATGAGGTAAGTCCTCACAACAGGTTAGGAGAGCAAGGTCCTGACATTGCATGGCAAGTCCTGATGACCAATGTGGACTTCAAGGCTGTATAACCAGGGAGTGGGAACGTTGAATTAGTACCTGAACGCCTCAGTTCAAGTCCCGGGGTCTTTCCTTGAGCTTTAGCTGCCTCCTCCTCCGGGTGGTGATGATAATATGCATACCTTGGGGCCGAGGTTCCACCCACAGCAACAGCAGCTAAGATAACTCACCTCAAACACTAAGCGGCACATTGGAAGTTCTAATCCCTCCATTTCCCTGGAAATGTAGTCATGTTACTGCCATGTCAGGTTTGTGGGTGAAGGACCGAGAATTTGCCTTGAAGGGAGGTTATTTAGACTTTACTTCTTTCCTACCCTGCTTCCCTGGCCTTCTCCATTTCTTGGTATGGCCAGGCCCCTCTTCTCCCCGAGTTTCGGCAGACCGGCTGACATCAGTGGATGTTCCCTGGGAAAAGCGGGCGGGCGTAGCTTCTGGCACCGCTTCCCCCAAACCCCCTGCCTCAGATACTAGGCGGCGGGAGGCCTTTGGAGCGACCAGCCGCCTCCCTCTTCCCCAGGTCTGGAACAGCAGCTGGACCCCACCCCTCGGCGTGAGAAGGAGGGGGCGACTTGAATCCCTCAGCTGATGCTGGGAGACCCGAGTTAGTACGGGGCGGGAAGTAGATCCCGGTTCTGGGGTTACAGGGGGAGCTGTCCAGCCCTGCAGATCCAGCTGGAAAGGAGAGTGGGCCAAGGCGCGCCAGGCGGAGCAAGGCGCGGGCGCCAGGCGCGGGTGCGGCAGTGACTCCCCCTTGCAGCCCGCTCCCCACGTGGCCGCCGCCGTCCCAGCCCCTCCGAGGAAGCGGCGCGGCTTCCTGCGGCTCGGGCCGGGGATATAGGCGCCCCCGCCCGGGCCAGCTCAGCTCCGCCGCCCCTCCTCGCCGTCTCGCCCAAGGCGTGATGGCCCGGTTCCTGGTGGAGCGCGCCCCGGGTGGATCGCGGCTCGCTCTGACCCGCGCCGGGCGGCCGGCAGCGCTCCGCCTCCCTCCGCTGCTCCTGCTGCTGTTGCTGCTGCTGCTTCTGGGTGGTGAGCGCAACCCCGGGGGCCCGGGTAGGAGACGAGGGAGGTCGGGGGGTGGGGTGGGGACGAGGCCTGGGCTACCGAGGCCAGCACGGGACCACCACGAGAGTACCAACCGACGTGCGGAGCAGCGCTGACCTGCACACGGGCCCTGAACACATCTCCAGGTTGGCACAGGACCGCGCTTCCCGCTTTAGGAAAGCTGGGGCGCCTGCCAGGACCTGGCGGAGAGGTCTTGGAAGGTCCGGGACTGACAAGAAGGGAGGGGGCTTTGGGCCCCGGTGCGAGGGGGGCGCAGCTGGTACCAGCCGCTCCCTTCCCGCACTAGGACAATCCGGTAGGGAGCGGGGAGATTATTTCTCTTTATGTTCCAAAGTAGTGCTGACTTTCCAGGGCCTTAGTCACTACCCCTAAACAGGCACCGCTGTTCAGACCTCCCTCTCCCACATCATCTGACCCTTCTCACTCATTTCTTTATACAGCTGTCTCAACCTCTCCGGAGTCCCTGAATCAGTCTCTTTCCACTGAGGACAGCTGGCTGTCGAAAGGTGGGTGCCCAAGTCTGTGGGAGAACGATCTAGCGGAAGGATAAAACCAGCACAGGGGAGGGGTCCTTTCACAAGACAGGCCTGGGGCCAGGTGATGCCTCCCTGGTGTCTCTTGGGGTTCCTATGGCCTTTCTCCGTTATCCCACAAAGCCCGAATCCAGCTTTAAGGCATCTTGCCCCAGCTGGGTAAAAAAGACCCAGACAAGGTGTATGTGGATGTGCTTGTGAGGCTGGGAAGGGAAATACTGTGCACATGGAAGCCATTACAGGATTCCAGAGCCCGGACCTCCCCACAGCCACAGGTGTCCTGCTAGGGAAATTTTCGGAGGGATTCCCTTGTCTAAAGGCAAAGGGCTCTACATTGTAAATCCCTGGGTCAGAAGGCTTGGAGGGAGGGTCAGCTTGGAGGTGTGATCACTGTGAAGCATCTGTCCCTACAGGGAATATGGAGGACAGCTATGAAGAGAATGTCCAATATTGCTGGTTAGATTATAAGAGTCTTATGGACTCGGTCAAGGACTGGTGTAACTGGACTTTGATTAGCAGGTAGGGGCAACGTTGAAGGGTGGGTGGCTCAGGCCAGGCGTTGGGCCACTTCCTCGTGGGTGGGCCTTGCGTTAATGTGGGACACCCTTCTCCCTGTGCCCAACGCCTCCCTCACTCAAATCCTCTGCTGCCCCCCAGGCATTACAGCGACCTGCAATATTGCTTGGAGTACCAGGCGGAGAGGTTTGGCCGGGGTTTCCCAAATCCTTTTGCAGAAAGGATCATCTTTAAGACTCACCTGATACACTTTGCCAACTGCTCCCTGGTGCAGCCCACCTTCTCCGATCCCCCAGAGGATGTGCTCTTAGCCATGATCATCGCCCCCATCTGCCTCATCCCTTTCCTGGTCACTCTTGTGGTGTGGAGGAGTAAAGACAGCGATGCCCAGGGCTAGGAGGTGCGATCCTCGGCAGCCATCTTCCCCTTACCCCTGCTGGAACTGGGAATCTCTCCTCCCCTTCCTATCTCCTTTTCTGGCTCTCGTCTTCCCCATAGACCTTTGGGTTGGTGGAAATGGAAGCCAAGTCGAGTCATGGCACAATTTCTGTAGTCTTTAAAAAAAAAAAAAAAAAGGTGTTTTTGTGCAATATTCCCTTCTTAGTGCGGTCTGTGTCGATGATACTTCTACAGGACCTCATTCCCGGGAACAGAGCTTGAATCTTGGGGTCCTTTCACCTGCCCTCCGCCCCCACAAGAAAGCCATGTTCCTATATTCTTTCCTCCCAGGGAGGGGCCTTTCCTGTCCCTCTCCAAACCCAGCTCCAGGAAACAAGCAGGAAGAGACTCCCTTCCGGTCTGGACAGCAGCTGGGGGCCTTTAGTTGGGGAGGTATGGGAGGAGGGGCAAGAAATCTCCACTCCAGCAAGGAAGAAAGACTACCCAGGAGCCCAGCTTTGCCCTTTTGTTGTGCCTCAATTTACTCTAGAGACAGAAAGAAGAAATATGGTTACCAACAGAATTTATCCTTAAGGACCTCAGGATTGAGGCCCAAGGCAGTGGGGGCTTCGCCTATAAGATTCTAAGGTCCCCTCTAGGTTCCCACATCATCTTAGATCCATCATGACCACACACTGCCCCCTGGTGTCCACTAAAGGCAACAACCAGACAATGTATGGGATCTAGAGGAAGTTCCAGGCTGCTGAGGAAACTGGACCCTGGGTCTCAGAAACATGTTATCTCCTTAACAACCAAATTCTTAGCTGGGCCCTTCTAGAGCTTCTTGAGAAATATGGATAAGATACTCCATTGACACACCTACTTCTCTGCAACTCATCATTTCTCTATATGAGCAGTGTTTCCCAGACAGTGAGGACCAGTTCTCACCGGGGAACTCTCATCTCCAATCCTTCCTGAACTACACTTACCAGGTCCCTCCAAACACATGCAAAGCAACTTTACTTTCCATAGAAACATCTGATTATCTTTTGCAGCACTCTTGGGCTCTTTAGAGGCTTCCGTTTTCCCTGCTAAAATATCTGCTTCCCTAAAGAGTGCACGCCTATTTCCAGGCACATGCTTATCTGTTTTAGAGATACATGCCTGTGTTTCTTGGAACCTACCTAGTTGTTGTCAAAGATATGCTTCTCTCAGGCCACATCTGTTATCTAAGGATTTTTGTTTTGTTTTTATGAGACAAGTTTTCTCTGTGTAGCCCTGTCTGTCCTGGAACTCATTCTGTAGACCAAGCTGGCCTTGAACTCAGAGATACACCTGAGTCCGTCTCTCAAGTGCTGGAATTAAAGGCACGTGCTATCACAGACCAACAACCTAAGGATATTTTTTAGTTTTTAGCTGGAATAAATATTTGCTCTATTCCCATGAATATATGTCTTTGTTCATTTTACTAATATGCACCAAGGGGGTTGGGGATTTAGCTCAGTGGTAGAGCACTTGCCTAGCAAGCGCAAGGCCCTGGGTTCAGTCCTCAGCTCTGAAAGAAAAAAAAAAAAAAGACTAATATGCACAAGGAGCCTGCTGGTGTAAAACACTGTGTGCAGCATAGTGTTGGAAAGGCAGGTTAGAGCAATTCTGGTTTCTACTCTCAATGGTTTTCATCCCCTGGGAAACGTGACAAGTACAAATAAATCAAAAACCTAGAACATACAATGGCAGTCATGCAAGGGAAACGGTCATGTATCCAAGTGCAAAGGAAGGGGGAAAGCACATATGGTGAGACGCTCACAAGAGATGTGGTGTCAGCTTTCCTGTCTGTGCGGTAAAATCCCAACCAAAAGAAACTTAAAGGAGCCAAGCTTGATTTTTGCTTAATGTTCCAGTATGGCCACTTGGTTTCATTGTTTCTGGGGCCATGGTGAGGCAAGAGCATCATGGCAGAAAGCATGTGGCCGAGCAGAACCTACACGGCAGCTGGAAAGCACAAAGTGGCAGAGACTAGGGACAAGGTATACTTTTCTAGGGCACACACCCCAGTGACCTACTTCCTCCCACAGGGCCCTACCTTCTTTTTGCTTGTTTGTTTTTTCAAGACAGGGATTCTCTGTGTAACAGCCCTGGCTGTCCTGGAACTTGCTTTGCAGACCAGGCC